GCGTCGACCGTTGGTGCCTGTCGCGGAGGGGCAAGCCCATCAGGCAACGCAGGCAGAGTAGTATACTACAGCCACTGGAACTGCAAAGCATTATGCGATGCGGATTCAGGGTGCACAGGATATGTTCTCCCAGCTTCTGAGTCTACTTATCATTGGTGTGAGACACACACGTCGGTCGGTGCGACAGGCGTTGGCCGAACATTGTATATGTGTTACATGAATGGGGCCGCGGGGCCCAGCCTGACGCCTTACCCGACGCCTTACCCGACTCTGTACCCGACTCCGTACCCGATTCCGTCCCCGACTCCGTCCCCGACTCCGTCCCCGACTCCAGTGGCCAGTGTGGCCGGTGGGGCGGCGCAGGCGACCGGGGACCCTCACCTCGCCAACGTGTTCGGGCAGCGGTTCGACATCCACAAGGAGGGATGGCACACGCTGGTGCGGGTTCCCCAGGGTGCCAAGCGCGGGGCCGCCTTCCTGAGCGTCGATGCGGAGGCGCGCCAGATGGGTGTGGCGTGCACTGGCATGTACTTCGTGTCGGTGAACCTGACGGGCAGATGGGTCGGTCGGCTCCCAGGGCCGCGCTTTCTGCGCCGGCTATGTCGCTGAGAAGGAGTCCCAGCGTTGGCTGCGATACGGCCAGGTGGAGCTGAAGGTGGTGCAGGGCCGCACTAACAGTGGCATCGTCTATCTGAACCTTTTCGTCCGCAATCTGAAATTTGTAGGCTACCCTGTGGGTGGGATTCTGGGCTTGGACGACCACGCGGCCGCAGCTGAGCCCAGTCTGAAGTGCAGAAAAGAATCAATTTGGCCTCGGTCGCAGTGGCATATTTGTAAGTGATGCCGTCGTGCAAGCACGTTTGTCTTTGTCATTGCAGTTAGTTGGACTTACGATTGACCGAATTCGCCTGGTACCATCCGCCGATGATGCTGATGCTGATGATGCCGATGAGGATAATGATGATGATGGTGATGATGATGCTGATGATGGTGATGAGAAGATGATGCTACTGCTGATGATGACGATGATGCTAACACTGTTGATAATGTTGATGACGATGACAATGACGATGCTGATGACGATGATGATGTTGATGACGTTGCTGCTGATGATGACGATTACGCCGATGACGATGATGATGCTGATGATGATGATGTTGATGCTGGCGATATGATGATGACGACGGTGGTGATGATGATAGTGATGACAATGTTGCTGTTGTTGATGATGGTGATGACGGTTATGTTGCTGAGGTTCGTGGTGCTGATGATGCTGACGATGAGGATGCTGATGATGATGCTGAGTATGATGATGATGATGATGGTGATGATGAGAGAATGATGATGATGATGATGATGATGATGATGATGATGATGATGATGATGATGATGATGATGATGATGATGATGATGATGATGATTTTGCCGATGTTTCTGCCGCTGATGATCATTATGCTGCTCACGATGCTGACGACGCTGACGATGACGATGTCGATGATGATGATGAGGATGATGATGATGACGATGATGATGACTTTGCTGATGTTGTTGATGTTGATGATGGCGATGCTGATCATGCTGAGGATGATGAGGATGATGCATCATCACGATGGTGATGCTGGTGATGATGATGATGATGATGATGATGCTGCTGTTGATGCTGATGATGATGCTGATGATGTTGATGGTGATGGTGATGATGATGCTGTCGCTACTGCTGCTGCTGATTTCGACGAATGATTATGATGATGATGTTGATGATGGTGCCGATGCTGCTGCTGCTGATGCTGATGATAGTGCCCATGATGATGTTGATGACGATGCATATGCTGACGATGATGATGATGATGATGATGATGATGATGATGATGATGATCACGTCGATGATGATGATCCTGTTGATGATGATGATGCTGATGATGATGACGATGATGATGGTGATGCTGATAATGATGTTGATGCCGATGATTATGATGATGCTGTTCAGGGCCCCTTCTGTGATCTACCTTCCTCGTTGATGTTGTTCCATGTGCTTTCCTTTCTCATTTCAGCTATGCTACTTCCCTTTCGGGCCGCCTGTTAGCTGTCTGCGGCAATTCCTGCCACTGTGTTATTCTAGCATGCTCGGCGGCTCTCCTTCGAGGGGGCACCGGAGACGGTACTCGCGAGGGATGAACACCATGATAACAATGATGATGACGGTGCCGACGATGACGATGACGATAAAGTTGATGATGATGATGATGATGATGATGATGATGATGATGATGATGGTGATGGTGATGGTGATGGTGATGATGATGATGCTGATGATGATGATGATGATGATGGTGATGGTGATGGTGATGGTGATGGTGATGGTGATGGTGATGATGACGATGACGATGAAGATGACGATTATGATGATGATGCGGATGAAGATGAGGATGAGGATGAGGATGAGGAGGATGCTGATGGCGACGACGATGATGATGATGATGATGATGATGATGATGATGATGATGATGATGATGATGACGATGATGATGACGATGACGCAATCTATAGTTGGTGCCCTCTCGCGTTCCCGCCTCCGATGAACCTCCAAAGCTTCAAATGGCCCCCAAGAGGCCTTCCGACAGAGTCCCGAGGGGTCCCCGAGGCACCCCCAGAGGCCCCGAGTTGTTCCCAAAACCATGACCACGACCAGGCCAACACAGTGGGTACCCTCCGCATATTCAAACTAGACCTCGCCATCCCTGGGGGGCTGCGATCTGCGAAACTGTCGCCACTGTCTCGAGAGATACGCTTGTTTTCACGTGTCCAGGCCGCCCAGGCACTCAGCATTGCAACTTGGCACGTTCCGTGGCGCGTCCTGTGGCCCTTCCTCTTGGCACGTCGCGCGGTGCGTCCCTTGGCACGTCCATTGGCACGTTCCGTAGCGCGTCCCCTTGGCACGTCCCGCGGTGCGTCCCCATGGCACGCCCCCTGGCACGTCGCCTGGCGCGTCCCGTCCCATGGCGAGTCCCCCTGGCACGTTGCGCGCTGCGTCCCCTGGCGCGGCCCGTGACACGTCCCCTGACGCGTTCCGTAACGCGTTCCCTTGGCACGTCTCGCAGTGCTTCCCCATGACACGTCCTTGGGCACGTCCCCTGGCGCGTCCCTTGGGACGTTCCGCGGCGCGTCCCCCTGGCATGTCCCCCCGTCAATTAGCCCTGGGCAGCTACTGTGTGCTCAGGCAGCTCGAGCTTCAGATCCACATCAGTTCGATCAGGACTCGTATGCAAGTGAGGACTCGATCCACAACACTATAGAGCACGATCGCGGCATGGCACATCGCAGTTCAGCACGGCGCAGCACCGCACAGCCCTTGGCACGGTGCATCAAGATCGATACACTCAGCATTGCATGTGCCCGTCGCCCGATCAGGTGTCTTTGAAAACGCTGCCATGCCTTACATCTCTGTATTCCTTTCCGGGTTCGTGGGTCGATAGTGTTCGGAGGCGGTGGGTGGTGGGTCTGAGGCCTCATGGATGTTGGTTGGGCCTTCGTGGCTGGCCTTTCGGAGGCCTCTGGGAGGCAGTTTTGAGGCCTCTTGGGGACCGTGTTGGGGCCTCTTCGGGGCCTCTTCGGGGCCTCTTGGGGCTTCTTGGGGTGCCTCTTGGGGGCCCCTTGGGGCCTCCAGGGGGCCTCTTGGGGCTGAAGGCTGGACTTTGCGGTTCCTGGTCCCTTTCTTGGGCCCCTCTTGGGGCCGTTTTGGGGCCCGCTTGGGCCGTTTTGGGCGCATCCTGGGTTGTCTTGCGACCATCTTGGGCCGTCTTGGGGCTCTCCTGGGGGCTGCTTGGGCGGTCTTGGGGGCCTGTTGGGCCGTCTTGGAGCGCTGGAAAGCCGAAAAGGCGAGAAGGCCATAATCTTTCAAACACCATCGCACACACTACGATTTTGGCCTCTCGGAGCTCTCTTGGGACTCTCTTGGGAGGCCTCTGGGTGGCCCCTTCGGGGGTCGTGTGCGCGTCGTGGGACGTCTAGAAGCCATCGTGAGTGTCTCGGACAAATCGTTCGACGACTCGGAGCCCTCTTGAACCGTCTTGGGCGCCTCTCGGGGTCCTCTTGGATCGCTCTGGGGCGCCTGAAAGCCGCGCCCAGGAGGAACAGCGTCTCCAAATAAAGGTTCGCCGGGGATCAGCCGGGGTACTTTTGATCCGCGAGTTCGAGACTTCCTAAATCAGTTACTTCAGATCTTAGCACGCCTCTGGCCCGTTGGGCCGGCGAATTGTCGGCGCTCCTTTGTGCTAAGATAGCGCTCCGTGCGGGGCGGGTGCAACACCCTGGGATGGACCGCCCCCTAGGCCGGCCAATCCAACTCAATTTCTCTTTGGGGATTGCAATAGGAATCGCAAAGGAAAAGGGGCGGCGATGAGAAAGAGAAGAGGAGGAGGAAGGAGGGAAGAAGGTTTTCAATGGCGAGCCCCGAGGGTGTTGGCTGTTCGCCGTTGTCGGCGTTCAAGGCTCTTGCGTTCTTGCCGTCGATCCTTACTGGTTGTAGACGTCGGTCGCGGGGAAGGGCGGGAAATCATGATTTATTGTTGCGGTTTGGTGCGGTGCTCACGATATTGTTCTGCGAAATCCGCCCCCGCGAATCATTCATTTTCTTTTCGGTGCTAACGATAACCCAGAGGAGGTCTCTCAATTGCTTCCTAGGGTTATTGAGCCAACAGTTGCAATGATTTTCGAAGGAAGGGTTCCTATAAATTCGTTGTCGCCGCTGTCGTCCGGGCCCAGGAGGCCGAAAACAAGGGGGTGCCTCTGGAGGTAGGACCCCGATCTCTGGGGGAGGAGCGGGGGTGAGAGAGAAAAGGGAACGAGGGAGGAGCGATGAGGAGAAGGGAGGAGAAACGAGGAGGAGGAGGAGGAGGAGGAGGAGGAGGAGGGGGAGGGGGAGGGGGAGGAGGAGGAGGGGAGGAGTGCAGTTGCCGCGTGCGGGAGCGCCCCTCCCGCGCTCGTGGCGGGCCCCCCCCCGCAGTTGAGGACCGCGCGCGCCGGCCTGCCTCGCGCCGCATGGCGGGCCGCGATGGTTCGATGCTCGTTTTGGGGACCTTCCTGGGGCCCACCTGATGGATCTGTTCGACTCAGGTTCGACTCAGGTTCGACTCAGGTTCGACTCAGGTTCGACTCAGATTCGACTCAGATTCGACTCAGGATCGAGTCAGGTTCGACTCAGGTTCGACGCACGAGTGGAGCGAGTGGCTCCAGGAAGGTCCCCAGAATGAGCATCTAATGATGGTGGACGCGATGTCTGCGATGAAGAGCCAGCTGAACGACCTCAGCGAGGCGGACGACCATACTCACTTCCGACCACGTCGCGGCGTGAGACCGCTTCGCAGCGCTGCGAGGCGGCCTGCAGCGCAGCCAGGAGACGCCAGGCACCCCGATGCAGCGGCATCATCTGCCTCATGGCCACAGGACCCCACGAGAGGAGCACCGACCTCGCCCACTACAGCTCCTACGACCACCAGGACTTCAACGACCAGGCCGCGCTGAAGACCGAGAAGGCTGCCAATCCCGTGTTCGACGCCCTTCCCCACGCCCACGTCGGCACCAGCCAACGGGTATCCCCACCCCGACGCCTACCCGCACGCCCGACCCCAGGGCCAGCCATACCCCCCAGCCCTACTGTCAGGCTGACAAGCCCCCGTCCGACACGAGGAAGGAGGCGGCCATCTCCGTCCCAGCTGTGCCGCCCGGCTGCTGGGCCACCGACCCGCTCGGTGCCGCGATGGCGGGGCGTTCCGCCTGCCGCCTGTCATCCCAGCGTGCCCTTACTACGACTACCCCACGACCCACCACCCCACGGCCTCCACGACGGACCCCACGAACCCCAAGCCACGCCCGGAGAGGCCGCATGCCCTGCGAGGGAGCCCGTGGGGGGGGCATGCCCGAGGCAGCGGCCATAGGGGCCGCTGGAGAGCCCACAGCGGGCGCCATCTCCCCCACGGCCTGCTCGACATCCCGAGTGGCCGCGTGCCTTGAGAGGGAGCCTGCGGGGGGCAAACCCGGGTAAGAGGTCAGAGTGACAGCCGAAGTCACCCCCCGGAACCCCACGCCTAACCCCCTCCCCGATTGCCCCACGACTCGAAGGCTCCCCCTCGACTACCCCACGGACCCCGCGACAGGCCCCACGAACCCCCAGCCACGCCCGGAGAGGCCGCATGCCCTGCGAGGGAGCCCGCGCGGGGGGGCATGCCCGGGGAAGCGGCCATAGGGGCCGACAGCCCACAGCGGGCTCCATCTCCCCCGCGGCGGGCTCGACATCCCGAGTGGCCGCATGCCCTGAGAGGTAACCCGTGGGGGGGCATAACCGGGGAAGCGGTCAGAAGGACAGCCGAAGCAACCCCGTGGAACCCCACGCCTAAACCCCCCGACTGCCTCACGACCCGAACGCCTGCCTCCTCGAGTACCCCAGGGACCACGCGACAGACATCGCGACCCCCCAGCCGAGCCCCGAATGGCCGCGTGCCCTGAGAAGGAGGCCGTGGGGTGCATAGTTACACGGGGAAACGGCTGACGCAGACTGCCCCTCGACGAGCCCCAAATCCCGAGTGACTGCATACCCCGAGAGTGAGCCCGTGGAGGGCATGCCCGGGGAAGCGGTCATAGGGACTGCCAACGACGTCTTTCGGGACCCTCCGCCTGACTCACACGACGGCCCAGCGACCCCCCACTCAACCCCAGCAGCCCCGGTGCGAGCGGCACCCCACAGAGAGTCCCGCGGAATAATCTCCGCTACCTCATATTGCAGCGCGCTTCTGCCCTTCTCACCTTGGAGCCTCCTTAAACTTGCCAGCATATTTGCCGCCACGCAGCCACACTTTTCACGCTGATGCCAGCAGCCTCCCCCTCCCCTTCCCCTCTTTTCGAGGTTCTGATATAAGATATCCTCTTGTTTTTCCCTCCAGATCGCAGACCTTGGTCCCTAATCTTCTCGATGTTTTTTTGTACTCTCCCAGGGGCGCCCGACTGGGCCTGCCTGTGGGAAGCGGCAGCGTTCGACGAATTCCATTGCCATCAACTCAACGTCTCAGGGGGGGTGCACATTTTTTTGCACATTTCGTCGTCGGCAGTTCGGGGGCATCCGAGTGAGTCGCAGGGCCCCTGGAAGCCCCCGGAGACCAGCGGCGACAAGTCTCCGGTTGACTGGTGGCCCCCGATCACCTCGCAGGTACGTTGCGCTGCTCTCATGTGCGCGCGCCGTTTGTTGTCAATATTGTGCTCTGTGGCGCGTCGTCGTGCTCGCAAGCCTAAGCGGGTCACGCAAGGGCGCTTCGGTGCTCGCGGCGGCCCTCCGCCGCGATGTGTTCGGGGGGGGGAGGCGAACTCCCCCCCTCCCCGATCACGCTCTGTATCGAGAATGATTAAAAGGCAGGCTCTAAGAAGGATGAGAGGGAACGAGTGGCCGCGGCCCCAGACGTCCGCGGATGCGACTGCGAAAAGGCATTACGGCCGGCGCCGGCGACCCGGAAGGACGACGACGACGGCAACGGCGACGTCGGCGACGACGTCGGCGACCACGACGGCGGCGATGACGACGGGGACGACGGCGGCGCGATGTTTGTCCAGTGCGCGGCCCCAGGGGTTCCACCCTCCCCCCCGCAAGCTAGGGCAGCTCTCCGTCCCGGAGGAGGAGGAGGAGGAGGAGGAGGAGGAGGAGGAGGAGGAGGAGGAGGAGGAAGGAGGAGGAGGGATGAAGGAGGAGGAGAGGAAGGAGGAGGAGAGAAGGAGGAGGAGGAGGAGAGGAGGAGAGGAGAGGAGGGAGGAGGAGGAGGAGGGGGGGGGAGGAGGAGGCGGGGAGAGTAGGACCCTTGGGCCCCGCGCAGGGCGCCCCCTTGGGGGCGCCGCCAGGCTCCGTCGGCGCTTCGCGCCTCGGGCCCGGGCTGGAGAGGTGCCCCCGGGAGGGGGAAGGGGCACCATGCCTCCTCCTCCTCCTCCTCCTCCTCCTCCTCCTCCTCCTCCTCCTCCTCCGCCTCCTCCTCCTCCCTTCCTCCTCCCTCCTCCTCCTCATCATCGGGGGGCGAGCCCCCGCGGAGTTCCTCCATGCAAAGTCCTTGCCCAGGGTGAACATGTGCGGGCCCACCGCCAGGCGCCACACGATGGCCGCCTCCGCGACCGCGAGCACACGATAGCCTCGTCGGAGACCGCGGCCACGGCAGCTGGCCCACGCACGGCACAAGCACTCGGCGGGCGCGGCAGTCGCGGCGCTTGGCGCCGCAACTTGCCGACCAGGCGTTGGCGGGGCACCCTGCTGCCGCCTGCGGTGGCGGGAATGCCGGCAGCAACCTTCCTCGCTGACGAGTTCGCGAGGCAACCCATCGAAGTGGGCCAACGACAAGGTGTCGGAGACTGGATACTCCCACTGGGTCACACCAGCGCCGCGGTTGAAGAAGTAGGTGTCGCCTGATCTCTCATCCGCTGCACTCTCCCATCCTGCAGGGAGCAGCTGCGGGGCGGCGCGCGTCGCGCCGCCGCGCCTCCCCGAGAGCGGCGGCTCCGTCGGCACCACGCCCGAGAACGCAGTGAAGAGGTTCGCCTCGGCGTCATGCGCGCCGACGCCGCAGGTCGACTCAGGAGCGCGCGGGCTTGGCCCCGAGGAGGCCGCGGCCTCCTGGGCGGCAGCCGACGTAGAGCACTCAAGGGATGGCTCCCTGGAGGCCCAGGGGGTTGGGCAGCGGAGGCGAGGCCTGCAATGCCCGTCAATCTCCGCGGTGAGAGTCACACATGCATCTTGTCGCTCGGGCTGTTTGCCTTCTCGGCGAACGCGGCGGCGCTCGGCGGGCGCCTCAGCGAGCGCGGCAAAGCCGGGCGGCTCCGCTGGGGGGAAGATTGCCGGCGTGCCCCCAGCTCCTTCGGCCGCGCCCTCCCGCACCTCCAGCTCCTCGTCGCTCGAAGGTGCCTCGAAAAGCTGCTCCATGAATGCCTTCTCAATTGACTCCTCCAGGTTTCCCTCTACTTTCTCGCAGGAAGACGTCAAGGCCTCCAGCCTGACTCTGCTGAGCGCTGCCACTGCCGCCTCTTCTCGAACGAGTGCATCGCAGACAGTATCTGATGACGTTTGGCCCAAAGTAGCACCACTGCCGATTGCCACTGTCTCTACTCGCAGGTCCTTCACCGAACCACCACACTCGAAGCTGATGGTGTCGGGCCTCTTGGGCCCCTTCTCGCATTGACGGCCCTGCTGCCACTGGCGGCCATTCTCAGGCCTCTCCTGCCGCTGACGCCCCTTCTCGCACAGATCTTCACTGCGAGCGCGGCGGCGCTCTTCGGGCGCCTGATGCCCCGAGCCTGCAACCCAACCATTATTTAATCGCTTCGCTCATTCCGCCGGCCCATACAGTCTCATGTCTGCCGTTTGCCCGAGGGCCTGGTGTCAATGCGGCGCTTTGGGGGTTCCTGGGGCCGCTTGGGGGACTCCTGGGGCGCTCGGGGGGGCATTTGGGGGGCCTCCTGGGGCCGCTTGGGGGACTCTTGGGGGCCTCCTGAGGGCCCCGTGGGGGCCTCTTGGGGCCTCTTAGGGGCCTCGTAGGGGCTTCTTAGGGCCGAGGGCTCGAAATGTTGTTTCGTGTTCCCTCTCTGGGGCCCCTTTGGGGGCGTTCTTGGGGCCCTCTTGGACCGTTTTGGAGGCTTCTTGGGCCGTCTTCGAGCCCTCTTGGGCCATCTTGGGGCCCTCTTGGGTGCCTCTTGGGCCCTCTTGGGGCGATCTTGGGGGCCTCTTGGGCCGTCTTGGGGCGTCGGGAAGCCGAAAAGGTGGAAGCTCCAAAATCTCTCAAAAACCTATGGAAAAACAATGATTTTTGCCTCCGGGGGCCCTATTGGGAGTGCTCTTGGAGGCCTCTTGGGGCGTCTGGGGGCTATCTTGGGCGTCTTGGAGCGATCTTGTGGCATGTCGGACCCCTCGTGTACCATCTTGGGGGCCTCTTGGGGGCCTCTTGGCCTTTCTTGGGGCTCTCGGGGACGTCTCGGAGCCCTGTTGGTGCGCTCATGGAGCGCTCGGGGGGACCCGGCCGGGACCTGGTCGGGGTACTTTTCGTCCGGGGACCCCCAGGGGCCGCCCCGCGCGCGCGAACTAGAAAATTGTTAACCAGTTACCGGAGATCTTAGCACGCCTCTGGCCCGTTGGGCCGGCGAATTGAAGGAAAGGCGAGAAGAGGGGGCAGAATTACACGAAAGTGAAGATGCACCGTGTTGTTTGTGCCGAGCGCTTTGCGCACGCTCAGGTTCTGCACGCTTTGCACGCGCCAGGTGTTGGCAAGTGACTGCATCGCAACACGCCTGGCTTGTGATTGCACCGCCCTCCGCCGATGGACAGCCAACAATGCAGCTGATGGCATCGGGCTCGTTCTTCAATGAACCACCACCCCTGAAGCTGACGGCATCGGGCTCGTGCTTCGGAGCACCGCCGCCCACGTGGCTTATGGTGTCGGGCTTGTACTCTGCAGGGCCTCCACCCCCGCAGCAGATGACAACGGGGAGCGTCGGCAGGGCTTGCTGCAGCTGCTCGCCGCCCTCGCCAACCTTCTTGAGCTCATCGCTTTCCACCCTGTCCCCTGCGGGACAGGGACCATAGAGCGGGCCTGGCTCGCCTGCGCCAGACGCCGAGCTGATGACGTTGGGCTCCACTGCCTGCCACTTCTCGCATTCCACCCTGGTCCCCGCAGCGCAGGGGTCATGGGGCGGGCCTGGCTCGCCTTCACCAGCAACCA